AATGTTGTTGCCATGGCTAACGAAGTCAAATTATGAAAACTGGAGTATCCAAATGAAAGCTCTTCTTGGATCTCTAGACGCGTGGGATGTGACCCATGATGGGTTTGAGGAACCAACAAAAGTTGGGGTATATACGGAAGCTCAAACGAAGGTGTTGAAAGAGACGCGATCGAAGGACAAAACAACATTATACATGTTGTTCAGGGTTGTAGATGAATCAGGCTTCAGAAAGATTGCTGGTTCGACTACGTCGAAACAAGCGTGGGACACGTTAGAAAGAGTGTTCAAAGGAGCAGATCGAGTGAAGCAAGTTCGACTCCAAACTCTTCGTAGTGAATTAGAGAGGATACAAAAACTATATCTGACTACATCATACGTGTGCAAAAGGTGGTGAATCAACTCACCAGAAATGGAGAGGCAGTAACTGATGCACGAGTTGTTGAAGATATCTTGAGATATTTAACAGACAAGTTTAAGAATATTGTGTGTGCAATAGAAGAGTCAAAGGACCTTTCGACACTCTCAGTCGAAGAGCTCGCTGGTTCTCTCGAAGCACAAGAACAACGAAAGATGAAAAAGAAAGAAGAAGCAGTCGAAGAAGAAAATCAAACCAAGGAATCAAACAAAGACGAAAAGGTACTTTTTCTCAAAACTTTCAAGGAAAAGGATGTGGACATGGAGGTCATGACAGTGGTCGAAGTGGTAGAGGTAGAAAATTCGAAAGAGGACAAACGAGCCAACAAAATTAGCGTGGCAGAGGACATGGTGAAAGAGGTGGTCGTTCGAATCACTCCAACTTCGAATGCTACAAGTGTGGGAAGTATGGTCATTACGCGAAGGATTGCAACTCCTACAAATGTTACAACTGTGACAAAGTGGGACATCTTGCAAAAGACTATCTAATCGAAAAGAATATTGAAGAAACAACCAACTTAGCCTTGGAAGTTGAATCAAATGAAGGCTTTCTCCTGATGGATCAAAACGGAATCAACACCAATAATGACAATGTTTGGTATCTTGACTCAGGAGAAAGTAATCACATGTGTGGTTACAAACACCTGTTTAAAGATATGAAGAGAATTGAAGATGGTAATGTGTCTTTTGGAGATGCATCGAAAGTGAAGGTCGGAGGGAAGGGTACAATCAGTTACTTGCAGAAGGATGGCTTGATTGGATCAATCGAAGACGTTTACTATGTACCAGATCTCAAGACCAGTATATTGAGTCTGCGACAACTTACAAAAAAAGGTGCTTCGATACTTATGAAAGATCGAACACTGCATTTGAAGGAAAAAGTAGGACATCTGATTTCCCGTGTCGAAATGGAAAGAAATCAAATGTACAAACTGAACCTGAGGAACGTTCGAGAGAAATGTCTGCAGATCAAAGTGCAAGACAAAGCGTCACTATGGCATATGCGCTTTGGTCATCTACATCATGCTAGTTTGAGAAGGTTGGCGAAAAGGAACATGGTGCATGGAATACCAGACATGGATTACGAAGGAAAGTTCTGTGAATAATGTGTGCTCAGCAAACAAACAAGAACCTCATTTCAAAAGAAAGTAGAATATCAAGCTAAACATATTCTCGAATTGATACATACTGACATATGTGGGCCAATCACTCCAGAATCCTTCAGTGGAAAAAGGTACTTCATTTCTTTTATTGATGATTTCTCAAGAAAGACATGGGTTTACTTCCTAAAAGAAAAAATTCTGAAGCATTAGAGGTGTTCAAAAAGTTTAAAGTAATGGTGGAGAAGGCAACAGATAGACACATCAAAGCAGTTCGATCGGACAGAGGAGGTGAGTACACTTCAACGGCCTTTGTGAAGTACTGTGAAGAACAGGGCATAAGGAGATTCCTAACTGCACCATATTCACCTCAGCAAAATGGTGTGGGTGAAAGGAATAATCAAATTGTTCTTGACATGATTCAATCAATACTTAAAAGCAAGAACATGTCAAAAGAATTCTGGCCAGAAGCAGTACAATGTGCTGTTTATATTCAGAATAGATGTCCACATTCGAAGTTAGAAGATAAAACACCACAAGAAGCATGGAGTGGAAAGAAGCCAAAAGTTTCTCATTTCAATGTATTTGGTAGTGTAGCTTATGCACATGTACCAGATCAACAAAGAACAAAGCTTGAAGACAAAAGTCAGAAGTACATATTCATTGGATATGATGAGAAGACGAAAGGGTACAAGCTATTAGACCACATAAGCAAGAAAGGGATCATGAGTAGAGACGTTCGAATAAATGAAGCAAGCAAATGGGACTAGAACAATTCGACAGAGGTTATTGACGCAGTCGAAGAAACAACTGTAGCTGTACCAATAAGTATTTCAACAGAACATGAAGATACTGAAGATGAAGATGAACCTCTACAATCCAGAATGAGAAGTTTTCAAGATTTATATGATTCAACAAGTGAGGTGCATCTTGTGTGCCTTCTGGAAGATGTTGAAAACATCAGTGTTGAAGAAGCGTTACGAGACAAGAAGTGGAAAAGTGCCATGGACGAAGAGATTAGAGCAATCGAACGCAACAACACTTGGGAGCTAGTCGAATTGCCAAAAGGCAGTTAACCCATTGGTGTAAACTGAGTATTCAAGAAAAAGATGAATGCTCAAGGAGAAATCGAAAGATTCAAAGCACGACTTGTTGCGAAGGGATACAAACAGAAATCAGGAATTGACTATGACAAAGTGTTTGCGCCTGTTGCAAGAATGACAAATCGATTGCTCATTTCTCAAGCTGCTCAATTCAAATGGCCAATATTTCAAATGGATGTCAAGACAACATTTTTGAATGGTGTGCTCGAAGAAGAAATCTATGTCGAACAACCACTTGGGTATATGAGAATTGGAGAAGAGAAGAAGGTGTTGAAATTGAAGAAAGCATTGTATGGGCTGAAGCAGGCACCAAGGGCATGGAGCACACGCATTGACACGTATTTCAAAGAGAATGGATTCGAGCAATGTCCTTATGAATCTGCCCTCTATGTGAAGAAAAATGAAAGTAATGTATTACTTGTTTCTCTCTATGTTGATGACCTTATTTTTTTAGGCAGTGATGTTCAGATGATAGAAGATTTCAAGAGCACCATGACAAGCGAATTTGAAATGACAGACTTAGGTCTGATGAGATTCTTTCTTGGTATGGAGGTTCGACAAGAAGAAACTGGAATCTTTATCTCACAAGAAAAATATGCAAAGGAAATCCTGGAAAAATATAAGATAAAGAATTACAATCCAACTTCGACGCCAATGGAACCAGGTGCAAAACTGTCAAAGTTTGATGGAGGAGAACGGATCGAAGGAAGAAAATATCGAAGCTTGATAGGTAGCCTTTGATATCTCACATGCACAAGGCCAGACATTTCACTAAGTGTTGGCATTGTTAGTCGATTCATGGAGGATCCAATACACACACATTGGAAGACACTGAAACGAATTCTAAGGTACATCCAAGGAACAATATCACTTGGAATGTTTTATCAAAAACAGAAGACTACAAGTTAGTTGGTTATTCTGACAGTGACTGGTGGGGAGACATAGATAATCGAAAGAACACTTTTGGATATGTATTCTTCATGGGAAACACGACATTTACTTGGCTATCAAAGAAGAAACCTATAGTAACACTTTCGACGTGTGAAGCTGAATATGTGGCAGCAACCTGGTGCGTCTGTCATGCACTATGGCTCAGAAGGTTGATAAGAAAGATGAGGCTAAAACAGGAAGGTCCAACAATAATACAAGTGGACAACAAATCAGATATCGAATTGGCAAAGAATCCAATGAATCGTGAACGAAGCAAATACATTGATGTTCGATTCCACTTCATTCGTGAACATGTGAAGGAAGGAAGTGTCGAATTGAGACATGTAGCAAGCAAGAACCAAACAACGAATATTTTCACAAAACCACTATCGAAAGAGATCTTCGACAGAGACAAGAACATGATAGAAATGCTGGATGGAAGAAACATTTAAGTTTACAGAAGAGTTTTGTTGAGTAAACTTTAATGTCATTAGTAATGGGTTTTCTTATTAAATAAGATCGTAGGAAGATTAAGAACCAAATGTAATTTGGAAGGTCAAAAAGTCAGTAGATTATAATAGTTTTTATTAGTAACAATTATCTTTCTTGAATTGTAAAAGTCATTGGGTCTATATAAAGACTAAGAGTGTGTTTTATTTGAAGAACACAACAAGTTAAAAAGTTTGTCTCTTTCTTTAAACAGCAAATCAAAGTCTGCTTCCATTATAACAAGCCGCCACGCGTGGTGGAGGAGAAGGAAAGATGTCTCGCTGATACCATATTGAACCTCATGAACAATTGAATATTATTCATTCTTATTATCTAATATCAAAAGAGACTTACAGTACTTATAGCAAAAGGTACAAAAAGGAAAAGTAACAGATTTCCTAAAATAATGGAAACAGTTGACCAAGTTATAAAGACTAAAGCTAATTAAGAGGGTTTTTCTAATACAACCATCTTTAATAAATTAGATTATGTCGTCCAAATAATATTCACGGTCAGAATCTATGAAGCATGGACACTTCTACAATTAGGCATGTCTTGTATAACACACGTATGACTCATAAAGAAAAACTCGATAAGTGTTCCAAAAAATAGTGTCATGTTGTAATACTATTCCCTAAATCATAAACTATCTGCACAAATAACAACATTGTAAAATATGATTGGACTTATACATATGACAACATAATAACTTGTCAGGACATAGTAATTAAACTTAACAAAGTAGTTAATGCAGCAATAGGCAAGAAGAAACTTAGTACATACAACTATGTTTTGTTTGGTGATTTCTAAAAGGATACAGTTGCAACTTGTCATGGATCCTCTGGTATCAACATTTGCACCAGATAAGTAACTTCAAACTGATACAGTATCACTGAATATTCTTTCGATTTGTTTGTGTACAACAATAAAAAAATATAGACAGACCAGTGTATGTTTTCGAGTTTCATTTGTTTTGATGCTGACCCAACTCCGCGGCTGATTTCGCCGCACGAGATAACATATCCGAAACCCAAAGAGCCCCTTTTGCAAAGTAGCTGCTATTGACTATAGCATTACTCGCAGCCACAGCTGCTCTCCCAGTAACTGTTGCCACGACTATAGCTGTCGTTCCCGTAACTGCTGCGGCCGATTTTGTGATATCTGTAACATGATACTTCTCGTCAACAGATTTGAAAGTTTCAATACCTGAATTTATGGTTTCTGTCAATCCAATTTTGTTGCTGAGTTCAACGACTTTGGCTGACGCTGTGGATGATACACTGCACGATTCGTCAAAAGCTTTTGCCATCACGAATGCGTCTTTGCTCAGTACATATCCTTTTGCTACCATTGTTTTGACAACCTCTTGGGCCATAGTAAAAGCTTCTCCAGGGGAAGAAACAAACTTATCCATGTGAATATCCTGTAAAAAAATTAAATTCTGACTTTGATCAAACTAAAAGTAAGAGAGCTTTCTAGGAAGGGTTTTAAGGCCATACTTGAGAGCATGTAATACTTTCGTCAACGTTATTGTCATCTGTATAAGCATCCCAGAGCGAAATGGAAATGCTTTGGTCCAAAATCATCGAACCCTAAACGAGAATATATGCCAGTTAGCAAACACATTTAAACTAAGACAATGTCACATTACTGAATAGCTAATGTTAGGTAATGTTTTGCAACAAAACAACATGAATTGAATTGAACAGGTACAAATATCACATTATATTAAGCGAAAAATCAATTTTACAGAATCAATTCATTCAAAATCAATTCTTTTCAACACAAAACAAAATACACGAGAAATAGAACACAGTTAATTGAAAATTTCAAAGAGCATGGAAATTCATAAGGTGTTATGTTGATCCATGATATCTAACAAAGAAGTTTAGAACCTTACATTAAGCAATAATGCAGTTCCCAGGGCATAAGCTTCCTTAAAAGTCACATATGCTGTAGAATCAAAATCACTGTGTCTGTGTCATAGTAAAAAAAATTACTTTTTTCAATTAGTTCAAAGAGTTCTTCACCAATACTATGAAGTAAACTAACATTTCTACCTTCTAAGCCTTTACCAATAATTTTTTTCATTTCTTGGCAATAGGCAAAACTATTTAACAAGAAATTGTATGAGCAGTGAAGCTGAGATAAGCTGGAATCTATTATACTATCAAATACAGTTGTGTTATTTGAACAACAAATATTTAACAAATTTTGCAATAACAATCTAAATGGTTAACACAGTTCAAATAGATGGTTAATTACATTCAGTAAATGGTTAAAAGATATATCTAAGTGTCAAAACTCTTTAACCATTAACGTATTTTCAGTAACCACAATTTGTGGCTTAATGAAATTACATTAATGGTTAATAAGTTTCGACTAGTATATCTAAACGTAAATAAGGTTAAGTAACATTACCTTATCACGTCAACGCGCTCAATCACACCGCAGTATCCAAAAAAATTGTGTACGTCATTCTCAGTAGCTCTTGGAGATAAGTTTGTAACTTCAGCAGTATAACCACCAGAATACATGATTATCAGGTTTTTGGAAAATCTCAAAATGGAAAAACAAAACCAAATTCCACAAACCTGCAGAAAGCAAAGAATGTAAATTTTGACACATGATAAGAACAAGAGAAAGTGATCCTGCAAGGAAAATTTCGGTTACTTCAGACACTAGTAATGATATAAAAAAGGCACATATTGAGAAATAGGTAGCACCGCCGTTGGAATTTGTAAGGGTCAATTCGAAAGGGACGTACGGTCACTAAAGCAATATTAGAACACCTTAGTAATAACCCTAGAGTCTTAAGACCTTTCGAGGCAATATTTCCGAGGCAACATTTTCGAGGCAACATTTCCGAGGCAACATTCGAATGGGACATTTTGATATTTTTAGACTGGAGGGCAACCACTAAGACACCCTATGCTTAATGATCGTTTACTGAAGGCAACCGAAGTGAGAGCATACCCTAAGAGTGATATGTGCGAGTGATTTGTTTCAGTTATTTATCTTTGCACATTAGGGTTTTCTAACTGTATTAATTTATCATGCATTCTTGCCATACAATTCTATTAGCATATATCTAGACAGTTAAATATTTGCAGGAATTAAAAATGCGAGAAAATAAACTTACGCTATTACAAGGCTTCGGGGAGGGGGATTAATTACATAGCCAAATACTCGGGGATTTAAACAGTAAATAAAAACCCTAAATTAACTATTACAAACCATGAACAATTACAAAATATTGGCAAAATAAATAACAAGCGTGCGGCGAATTAAATGCGAGGCGATTAGGGTTTTGACCCTTTGACTAATCCTATTTGCGATTGATTAAAAAAAGATGTTTTTGTCATGTTTTGTTATTTGATAAAATAATGAAATAATTAAATTAAAAGAAAATCCTAAGTTCTAATTAATATTAATTAAAGAAAAAATAAATTAATTCATTCTAAAAACCTATTTTGATATTTTTATTTTATTTGAGAAAGAAAGAAAAATTAAATCAAGAGTTTAAACCTAATTTGCTAATTAGTTTTAATTAAAAACAAGTTAAAATTTTCTTAAATTAAATTAAACTAAATTAAATTAAATTTGATTAAAAAAAACCTAATTCTAATTTTTATGATTTCTTGATTTTATGATTTTATGAAGAAAAAAAGTGATTAATTTTGTGAATTAAAATAATTAAGCAAATTAATTAAATAAAACAAATAAATAGAGAAAAGAAAAAAAAATGGGCCTGATTGTTAGCAAAAAAGGGGGTGCAGATCTGATTTCCTTGGCCCAAAACTCCAAAGCCTGTATTGGCCACGCTGGATTTGGTGTGGATGTTGACTTGAGGAATATGGTGGATCTTCAATGGAGAGGCATTGGATCTGGCTAGCTGGACATCAAAGGATGGATGTTTGAGGTTGTATGGTGAGCCTCATGATGAGCAACGCGCTGGATCAGTTAATTGAAAATAAAACAAATAAAACACCGGGACCTGGGGATCGAACCCAGGTCCTTATACTTAATTACAGCGCTTGCTTGCCAATTGAGCCATGATGGTTAGTTGTAACTATGATAATAATAAAATATAATATAAGAAAATCAAAAGAACTTATTCCCAAAGCGCGCGAGATTTAAACGTTCCAATAGCTGGCTGACACGCAAGCGTCTTCCTCCTTTCTCCGTCGTTTTAGACTCTGGCACCTTTACCTACGGACACTTTGCTGTAACTACAAACCTATGACATTCCAAAATCCTATACAAGCAATATAAATGAAAGGTAAGGGTACAAATCAACTCGTCTCATCCTCACGAGTATCATGGTACCAGAATCAATGCCTAATTTTACCTATACTGAAAACCCCTAAATAAGAACATAAAACCCTAACAATGGCATATTGTGATTCCTGTACTACAAATGCAATTAAGTAGTACAAAAAGCTTGCAAACACAATGATGAACAATAATATATAATTAAAACATGCTTATGATGAGTAAATCAGTGAAATCAAAATCAAGTTTTTACGCAAACCGTGGGAGGCATAGAGCGCGATTCTAGGAGTTTCAAGACCTGTGAGTGATTGGAATAGCTTTCTGAGATGTCTAGCAAGCGATTGGGATAGCTAGCACACCTTGAATTGGCCTGTGGAAGGAGATTCGTCCCACACTTTTCTTGGAAATTTTCAAGTTTGTTCTGGTTCTTGGAGGCAGGTTGTGCACGAGAATTCTTGTGTGTAGGGTTCCACAAACTTCAGTATATGTATTGAATCCAATTAGGTTAACAAACTTGGATCCAATCTTGAGAATTCGTGAATGGAATATTTGATTTCTAAGCCATATGATATCTTTCTATTTTCATGCCAATCATGCTCTTTTGTACCAATTGCCCTTGATTCGAATTGATCATGCAGGCTCAGCATATCTTGATTGCCAATCTGTAACAAAAACAAATCAAATCATATCTTTGATAATTTTCATCATTTATTTGATTTAATTCACTTTTTAATTAATGAAAAATCAAAATAAATGGAAAAATGAAGAAAATAATATGTGGATAAGTATTTGAGTCGTGGACCACATTCTAATTGAGGTGCAAGCATAAAAAGTTGGGCCCATTTAGCAAAAAATGTAAATTTGAGCACATTTGACTTTTGACAATTTTGCAAAAATGGTCAACTTGATCAATGCATAACTCTCTCAATTTTGACCCTAGAGAGGTGTTCTTGGACTTTTTAGAAATCTTAGGATGTCCTCTAAGCAACCCTTTTGGTCTCATCTCAATTTAGTCTTCCATGTTCATGTATGAAGCTTTGATCCAAAAGGTATTTTTGTTGACTTTTCAAGAGGACCTATAATGTCAAAATTTGTATATTTTTGTGAGTGCATATTCTGAACTTGGGAGCTGAAGATGAATTGTAGGGAATTGCATCCTCTTCAAAATGAGCTTTGGATGAGTCATTTCTGATAAAGTATGCGAAAGTTATGCTTGGTCAAAGTTGAGTTGACTTTTCCTATAAAACCCTAATTTAGCAACTTTTGTGTTTTGATGAATTGTGAGCAATCCTTGAGGAATCATGATCAACCCTTGATCAAATGATGAATAATGCTTCAAAATAAGGATTTGACCAAAAATCTTGAGGTTTGACTGTATGTGGACCCCAGTTGACTTTTGACCTAGCACAATTGATTTCCAGGTATTTGAACAATTGACTGAGCAAACTTCTTCTGCAAGGCTTGAAATTTGACATGGATGATCTTGAGAACATATTAGGACAATGGAGAGCATATGAGGCCTTTGTGGTTCACCCATCTTGATGAAAATAGAAACCCTAATTTTGAGGTACACTGCCTTATGAGAGAGTTTGTCTGGTCAACTCTTGGGCAACTTTAAGCAAATTGAAGATCTTAAAGGACATGTGTTGAGTAAGATGAGAGAGAAAATTTTGGGGTACAACAGCTTCCATTATAACAAGCCACGCCTGATGGAGGAGAAGGAAAGATGTCTGGCTGATACCATATTGAACCTCATGAATAATTGAATATTATTCATTCTTATTATCTAATATCAAAAGAGACTTACAGTACTTATAGCAAAAGGTATAAAAAGGAAAAGTAACAGATTTCCTAAAATAATGGAAACAGTTGACCAAGTTATAAAGACTAAAGCTAATTAAGAGGGTTTTTCTAATACAACCATCTTTAATAAATTAGATTATGTCGTCCAAATAATATTCACAATCAGAATCTATGAAGCACGGACACTTCTACAATTAGGCATGTCTTGTATAACACACGTATGACTCATAAAGAAAAACTCGATAAGTGTTCCAAAAAATAGTGTCATGTTGTAATACTATTCCCTAAATCATAAACTATCTGCACAAATAACTACATTGTAAAATATGATTGGACTTATACATATGACAACATAATAACTTGTCAGGACATAGTAATTAAACTTAACAAAGCTAGTTAATGCAGCAATAGGCAAGAAGAAACTTAGTACATACAACTATGTTTTGTTTGGTGATTTCTAAAAGGATACAGTTGCAACTTATCATGGATCCTCTGGTATCAACATTTGCACCAGATAAGTAACCTCAAACTGATACAGTATCACTGAATATTCTTTCGATTTGTTTGTGTACAACAATAAAAAAATATAGACAGAGCAATGTATGTTTTCGAGTTTCATTTGTTTTGATGCTGACCCAACTCGGCGGCTGATTTCGCCGCACGAGATAACATATCCGAAACCCAAAGAGCCCCTTTTGCAAAGTAGCTGCTATTGACTATAGCATTACTCGCAGCCACAGCTGCTCTCCCAGTAACTGTTGCCACGACTATAGCTGTCGTTCCCGTAACTGCTGCGGCCGATTTTGTGATATCTGTAACATGATACTTCTCGTCAACAGATTTGAAAGTTTCAATACCTGAATTTATGGTTTCTGTCAATCCAATTTTGTTGCTGAGTTCAACAACTTTGGCTGACGCTGTGGATGATACACTGCACGATTCGTCAAAAGCTTTTGCCATCACGAATGCGTCTTTGCTCAGTACATATCCTTTTGCTACCATTGTTTTGACAACCTCTTGGGCCATAGTAAAAGCTTCTCCAGGGGAAGAAACAAACTTATCCATGTGAATATCCTGTAAAAAAATTAAATTCTGACTTTGATCAAACTAAAAGTAAGAGAGCTTTCTAGGAAGGGTTTTAAGGCCATACTTGAGAGCATGTAATACTTTCGTCAACGTTACTGTCATCTGTATAAGCATCCCAGAGCGATATGGAAATGCTTTGGTCCAAAATCATCGAACCCTGAACGAGAATATATGCCAGTTAGCAAACACATTTAAACTAAGACAATGTCACATTACTGAATAGCTAATGTTAGGTAATGTTTTGCAACAAAACAACATGAATTGAATTGAACAGGTACAAATATCACATTATATTAAGCGAAAAATCAATTTTACAGAATCAATTCATTCAAAATCAATTCTTTTCAACACAAAACAAAATACACGAGAAATA